ATGGATGGGAGGATGGATGGATGGATGGATGGATGGATGGGAGGATGGGAGGATGGATGGATGGATGGATGGATGGATGGATGGATGGTGGGAGGATGGATGGATGGAGGATGGATGGATGGGAGGATGGAAGGATGGATGGATGGATGGATGAATGGATGGATGAGAGGATGGATGGGAGGATGGATGGATGGATGGATGGATGGATGGATGGATGGATGGATGGATGGATGGGAGGATGGATGGATGGATGGATGGGTGGATGGATGGGAGGATGGATGGATGGGAGGATGGATGGATGGATGGATGGATGGGAGGATGGGAGGATGGGAGGATGGATGGATGGATAGATGGATGGATGGATGGGAGGATGGGAGGATGGATGGATGGATGGATGGATGGATGGATGGATGGGTGGATGGGATCAGTACTCAGAATGAGAAGCCCGGTTGTTATTCTGAGCAGAGCTTTCTCAGAGTCAGATCGTGGCTGCACTGAATGAATACTTCTGAGTGAATCATGTATGGAGCTCTAAAACATTTTGTAGAAAGTAGATGATAAAAATAGGACTAGGAAACTAGTCTGTCTGATTCAAAGTGATCACACCACCAGAAGATCAATACATCAACCACTGACCACTGAGAGAGAAACAGCTTCTTTTACAGATAAAAATTTACTAAATAAAAAGACCCAGTTTAACAGCAGGAGTAGCCAGAAATACAGTTAGGTCTCTGAACCACTTCTTTGAGGGGAAACAAGAGCAAATGTGGAGGTAAATAGGTGACGACATGCAGAGCGTGGTCAGAGCATGGCTCGCAGCGGCAGGTTAACGTCCACACGCCTGTGCAGAGCGTGGTCACACATCGCTCTGTGGTTATAGGCCAGTCTACTGCATAGTTTACTTTATACATCAAACTACTGCTGCTGCTACAGCTTCCCCTCACAGAGGCGGTGCCGTCATCCAGTCCGATCTTTTGTGATGGTCATCACGACTTTGCAAGTAACCTCTGCCTGACCCCCCCAACAAAAGAAGTGGCAGTGTTGAAAAGCAGGAAACATTAATCTCATGTTCATGTTCCATCTCCAGCTCCGATTGAACGTGAACTGTGGGGGCAACAGAGTTCATCCAGAGGTGGGCTGACACCGATGACACAGGTTATTTTATCTTATGTTGAAACAATATTCCCAGATCCTTGCTTTAAAAATAAAATTTTATTTTATTTTTGAACCAATATGAAGAACTCTAACCTCCTGTTGCTAAGTAAAAATGTCTATTTCCTGACGGCATGGCGACTGGTTGCTGGATAAACCAGTTGCTGCATAGAAAACCTCGTTGTGCTGGCTTTGGTTTCTAGCAGATTGCCGTGGTTACCAGTACTTTGCATTGAAGACTTGTCTGAACACAAATTACTTGCCAAGTAGATGTGAAGCCAAAGAGTGCGATGCAAACTGGGAATGGAATAAAAGTTGTGCCTTTCTGCTGAAACCAGCTCACTAAAAGCACAGCTTTTACTCTTTGCAACCAATCTCACGTAGCAAAAGCAAGAAACTTTCTGCAACCACTCACCAACTAGTTTTGCCCTGGTAACTGGTGGTTACTATGGCATCACTGACTGGTCTTTAGGCCTGCATGGCTGGTGATTAGCAATTGATTTCACAGCAACTGCCAGCAACCACCCAGCAACTGGTCTGGGAACGCTCATTTTCCCCAAAGACTGGTGGTCTCAGGTGGTTACCAACTGGTAGCCAACCAGTTTCTTAACCAAGCTTAACCAAGCGTGTTGATGGTCAACAAGTCCTGCACAGCCTCAGCTAAGACACAGACAGTAGTTCACAGACAGTGCTGATAAACACCAGGCAGAGCTCAGTGACTGTACAGCAGCACAGAGATACAGCGGTGACCCCTGACCCCGCTGAACATTTATGGCGACTCGTGAAAACACAGAAAGCCGAACACTCCTGAGAAGTGTTGAAATCTCAGCTCTCTGAATCACTGCGAGACCCTGCTGGGATAAGTCGGGTTATCAGGCTTGAATAATCTCTGCTGTTTTTTCTCTTTTGTCTCTTTTATGTGATGAAGCTCTGACAGGAATCGATCTCTGATTCACTGCCTTACTCAACCAGCTGCAACACTACAAACCAAACTACCCAAACTCAGCTGTTACTCTGGCTCGTTACAGCTGTAGAGACGAATCAGATCACACTGGATTCAAACACGCTGCACATTTCAGCTTTCCTTTAATCAACAGCATCTAACGTGGAAGAATGAGTGATTCTTTATCTGATCATCAAAAAACAACAAACTAAAAGCTAAATTTTTTTTATTAATCGCTCATCATGGAGCTGACATCAAACAGGAAATCGAGCCACAGATGCTGAAGTTTGGTGTTCGGACCACCGACTCATCAGGACACACCGCTGCCCATTTATGTTCCACCAACAGTCCCAAAGCAGTGAGGCGGGGCAAACCCTCAGGACAGCAGCGCTGAATGAACACGATTATTGTAATGTATGAAAGATCTCTTTCCTCTGATTTAAGTCTTATTAACAGCGTCTCCTGGATTGTGTGTTTATCTTCAGCTAAACTGAGGCAGTGAACATGTGGCGGTGATGAACAGCGTGCAGGCAGCAGTTCACCGCACTTTCATTTTACCTTAGAGGACAAAGGCGCCTCCCACTAACCTGTTCACACACAGACTGTAACTAAAGATGGACACAGCCACTGTGATGTCACATGTTGGTTACAGAAGCGCGAGCTTGAAGCCCAAACGTCATCTTTGTGTTTTGAAGCGAGCGGTGGATCTGACAAAACCAAAACTTCGTCTTTTTTTAGCTCTAATATTGAAAATAATAAAATAATCATGTTGTATTCAGTAACTGAGACCATAAACTCATGAGCTGTGTTAACTGAGGTCAGAGATCAAAACAGCAGTAGGCTCATTTTCCTCTACACTTCTATACAACATGCCGTCCTCCTGAAACACACGAGTCGCCCCCTGCTGGTCACTAGAAAGCCTGTCTGTTTAAGACACTTTCATTAGCTTCACCTTGCAGACCCAGAAGCTGTGTCCATGTCCTTTTTAGAGGTCCAGTCTCTATTTGCACGCAGACGTGAATGAATGTTACAGACTGTATTTATTTTTCAAGAAAAGTCCCCCACAAGCATCTGAGAAATGGAGTTTCCAAAAAATGATAAATCTCATACAAAGTCTTAGAGCAAACGTTTGTAGCTGAACCTGCTGATTCATAACATGTTTCTGTTTAAAGTTTGGAGAGATCATTTAATTTGAAAGTGTTCTTACACCAACTATGTGGCAAAAAAATAGTACAATCAATGAATGAACTGGATATTCTTGGTGTTATTCAATAACAGCAAAGGATGGAAATCAAAATAAAACTCATTTTAAAAAATGCAATTCTGCAACAGTACCAAATATAGAGCATGTAAAGACCTCTCTGCCCAAAGCGGTCAGAGCAGATGGCCCCGCCCCTCCCTGAGCCTGGTTCTGCCGGAGGTTTCTTCCTGTTAAAAGGGAGTTTTTCCTTCCCACTGTCGCCAAAGTGCTTGCTCATAGAGGGTCATATGATTGTTGGGTTTTTCTCTGTATGTATTATTGGAGGGTCGACCTTACAATATAAAGCACCTTGTGGCGACTGTTGTTGTGATTTGGCGCTGTGCAAATAACACTGAATTAAATTAAATAACTGTTTGTTGGAAATGAGCCGTGCAGGTGAAATGTTTTGCATGATCGATTTAAACGGGTAGTCGGACCACCATGTGGCACCGATGCCAAGTCTCTAGTAGTTTATGAGTTACGTCATTTGCATCTAAGCATTTAGTAACCTTCGTGTCCTTTGGACATGGAAGAGGGAAAGGTTTACTATAAAGATGACCACTTATTAACTTTTTGCACAGCTGTGATCCTCAACCCTTTAAGGTGGAGCCAAACGGTGCAGGTGAAATGCACACTGCAGCATGACTGACAAACTGGATCTCCTCAACATTTCCAGGCCAGATTTAAAGAATCTTGTGAAACACGAGTCCTCGAACCAAATCGCTTTCCCCATATCTCTGCAGTCGTTTGTCTGGAGCTGCCGAACTTTCAGATGTGGATTGGTTGCGACTGTGAGGGATGTCTGGGCATTTCCGCTCCACCTGTGATGGATGGACAGGTTGTATTCAATAAGAGTTGAAATGTTTAATGAGGCCATAAGATCATCAGGCCCCAGATCGACTGAGCTGAGGTTCGACTTTTATGCAGTCAGACTTCTTTGTGCAATCGGAGGAGTCGCCCCCTGCTGGTCATAAGAAAGAATGCAGGTGTAAAGCACTTCCAGAGAAGCTAAACTCTTCAGACTTGGTGCAATGCCCATCTTTTATATACAGTCTGTGAATTACCCTCGCCTGTGCCTGTTGGACCTTTGTGACTTGCACTATGACCCCTCCCAGGCAGGCTGACGGTGCTTCACCTTCCTCCTCCTTCATGCCTGTTCTTCCACCTGTTCCTCCTCTGGTCTCTACTTTTCATCATCTTCCATCTTTTTCTCCTCCTCACCAGCTCACCCTGTCGTCCATCCTTCTCTTCCACAGATTCTGTCTCTAATTCCTCCTACCCACCCACTCCACCCCAAACCCCCTTTCCATCACCACCTCCTCTCCGTTGCCGTGGGGATACAGGGGATCATGACTGACAGGCAGCTTGCTAAACCAATCAGATTCATCCACAGCTTCAAAGGCGAACACTCATTGGCAGTTCCCAGGGGAGCTGGAGTGTGTGTGTGTGTGTGTGTGTGTGTGTGTGTGTAATAGAGTGATGGATGATCTCTCCAACAGCAGAGGAGAGGAAGGATCACTCATTCTCAGTGTCTCTCTGTTGCTCTCTCTCTATTTAATTCCTGATCTCTCTCTCTCTCTCTCTCTCTCTCTCTGTATGAGTGTCTCTCGCTCGCCCCCCCTCCCTCCTCTCTCCACATCTCTGTCGCTGTGGAGAGCCAAAGAGAGAAGACGTTTGTTCTTGGAGATGCTCGAGGAAAACAAGAAAATAGCTGCTTCTGCTGGATGTTAAAATGCAGCACTGCATGCCTTAAATAAAACACACACACACACACACTGACACACACACACTCCGCGGCGCTGCAACCATGCCAGGAATACCTGCCGTCCATCTGCTGTTGCGCGGTGCACGGGATGTGATGGATGCAGCTCCTACTTTCTGTTGGTGAGTGTTTGATTGCTGTGTGTGGTTTTTCGGGAATGTGTCCGTGTACTCGTGTGATTGTGTGTTTGTGTGTGTGCGTTGTCAGGACTGCGGTAGTCCTTGAGCGCTGTGGCGACTCAGCCTGCGGTTCTGACAGCTGAGGGGAATAGGAAAACAGGGCTGGGGCATTTTTTTCTCTCTCATTCTGGAGGGGTGCGAGGACGCCTCGTCACTTTAGTCGCTATTCGCGTTTTGTCACTTTGGTGTCTTGCAGTAGAGCGTGAGGGGACACGGTGTTGTCAGTGTCACTCCACAGGTTCATCCCTGAAGTCAGAGAAAGGCAGAGTGTGCAACAAGCCTGGATAAAGGGAAGGGCGGGTGCGGGGGAGCTTTGTGTCTTTTCAAAGTGACGAGAAGCAGGAAAGACTCGTGATAACACGCGAAAGCTACAACCGTCCCCTCAGGAAACCGAGCCGCCGGGACACTTCCCAATGAGGCGAAAGCGTCCCGGGCTTCGTCGGCTCTCGTCAGAGCCGCCGTGGACTGGCGGCCGATGCCAGCGTGCGGTGTGGCGACGTGAGTCAGGAGAGAAAGAGGGGTCACAGGATTGGCTGTGGGGTGATCTCCACCACCGCCTGCCTAATTTGCCAGAACCTCAGCCCCTCTCTGCCTCCCTCCTTCCTCCGTCCTCACTCCCGCTGTATTTAAGCCTCCTTCATAATAAGCAGCAGTGCACGGAGGCGTCTTTAAGTGCTCAGACTGAAATCAGCACTTCTCCCCCCTGCCCGGCTAAACAGGGGTCAAGTACGCCGAAGCTCAGTTTCCTCACGTCAACATGCAGCAGCGTCAGGCTCGGAGCGTCGGCCGTGGACACTTTAAAGACGCAGCCCTCTCCGGAGCTCCAAGACTGATACGTCAACGTTCATCCTCAATTTTCATGGCGTGATTTCTCAGAGGGTTCGCAGCACATTTGGACTGATTAGACTGCATGAGCAAAATAGCCTATTATTTTGATTTAATTGACAATAACAGTGCTAAGTCACTTTGGAATAATCCTCCTAATTAAATAATGACAGCAGGTCTTTTAAACCGGAGACTCCGTCCCTGTGTGAGGAGGAGGAGGACAAACACAAGCACGTTTGGACCCATTTATCACAATCACATGTTTTAAGGGAGCCACGCAGCTCAGAGTTAATTATTCTGTGGGGACTTATTGCACTCTTATCATTACGGGAATCCCCAGCTTCACAGCACAAACTACATGTTGTCTTCTCTCTTTTCCTGATGGGATAAAGTCCCATCCTCTCATTCTCTGAAAGCACCAACAGTTAATCTGGATTTTAGGCATTAACATTCAGTTTGTCCATCAAACATGCAAATTGATCACAGACTCATTAGGAATCATAATTATTACTTTAAATACGCTTAAGTCTAACCAGTAACAAAAGGATAATTACGAAGTGCTGAACTCTATATCCATGTGTTTAAACGACATCTCACAGAAACAATAAAAAACCTTCCAGTAAACCGGGTCACAATAATGATAAACATCATCTAAGCTTTCACGTATCCAGAGCTGCAGCTTAAACCGAGCTCCATCTAGTGGACGGCGCGCACGTACTTAAAATGCGTATTTAAGACTTCACGTGTGGGAATGAACAGCATGAAACCGTTACACAGCAACTCAGTTTCCTGCAGGTTGAACGACCCATGCAACTCCAGTTGAGCGGTTACACAGCGCACATACGAACACTCATTATCTACATTTGCACCACTTTGCCGATTGGCTTGCTGGAAATGTGCTGTTCTTTGGCTCCAGCTCCGCAGGACCGTGTTCATTTAGAAAAAAGAACAAAAAGAAGTAAAATTTAAAAGGTGCCAAAAACTGCAGTTCTTCTAACGGCCACCAGAGGCTAAAGCAGTGAATCACATTACTGCACGAGAACGTCACTGTTCTATTATTAGTGTTTTATTCAAATCAATAAATAAAGAGAAAGTCCCACACGGGCGTCCAGGAGACCTTCAAGAAGAAGTTTAGATGTTTTGTAGATAACGGGGCTACATATGGTCAAAGCTCGCTGGGGGGCGTGGCTTCTTTGGCTTACAGGTGTACAGCTGCTAGCTGCTAGGGTTGACCTCGGCTAGCTCCTGAACTGGACGCCTTGACCGCATTTGTGCTGTTGGAGCCTTTTAATGACATCATGTGACCAATAATGTGGCTACTATGAGGTTATGATCAAATGATACCAAATATGGTCATCTCGAGCTCTAAAACGCCAACATGGCCGCGGCTAAAACTGCGACAGTGAGACGTCTAAAACCCGTGGGGGACATCCCTGTTCTCAGGTCTCTGGTGATTGTCAAAGTGGAGTCTGCTGCCCACTAGAGCTCCCTCATGTTACTACATGTGTTTGGGGTCGATAAATCAAATATTTTCTGCTGTTTCATAATATAATTAATATTTATAAAAACATATGTAGGCTCAAAAAAAGTCACAACTAATACAATAAAGCCCCCGAACTGAAATTAAAGCTTCCTGCTGGTGTCAAAAGGAAAGCTGTTAACGAGAAAATCAACATAAATCACAGAGAAGAAAACACTTCATCTTAGTTTGGTGTGTTAATCAGAGCTGTGATTAAAGGTCTGAGTGGGCCACGGCCGCTCGGCGTAATTCTACACTCAGCTGCTTCTTTTGTTTTTGGCAGAATTAAATTCAGCTGGAAGAAAAAGTTGAAAGTTAAGCTGCTGCTTGTTTTCTTCTATGCATTTCTTTGCATTTCAACGTGTCTGGCAGATATTAGCATCTTTCTCAGGTGTAGGAGAGTAGCGTTTGCTGCAGCTCTGCCTGAAACTTTGTATGAGATTCATCATTTTTTGGAAACTCCATTTCTCAGATCGATGCTTGAGGGGGACTTTTCCCGAAAAACAAATGCAGTCTGTAACAAATGGTGATAGAAACTCATTTGTCACATGAATCACGATGTATTCTTGGCCCTCTCTCATTGTGGCCGTGTTCATAAATGGATTTGGGCCTCTTATACTATCTATACTAAACCACTTGTGCAGTACGCAGCGCCGCCAGGAAAATCAACATGTCTGCATCGGTTAATACATCAGGATATTGCTGCGGAATAAAACTTGCCCAACACAAATCAGCACTAATCATGTTTTCTTGATTCTTCTCCCCATGCTGGAAATCGGGCTCATTGTTTGGAGGTTGTTTCAAAAATGAAGCGCTGAGCTGAACAGAAACGGAGACACTGTGGTGCTGAGAGCGGACAATAAAGCGAAGTTTCCTCGTACGCGTTCACGCCAAGAGACAAAACACAACGAGGGGGAGATGTTTCCGAGAGACGTAATCTCCTCTGCCGAGCCTCCCGTCGACGACGAGATGCCAAAAAATTACTTTAGAGTCGTTTTGTCTTTACTGGTGATATTCCAGAATTCTCCTCAGGGAAACAAAGCAGCATCACTGTGGCTTCCCGGCCCATCGTTGTCAAAGACTCACTCCAGCATCAAACGTGAAGTAAGCTGCTGCTGAAGCTGGAGCCCGTTCACATCTGCTGATTCTGCGCTTCAAAGTCGAGGCCAGAGCAGGCGAGGAGGTCAGGGCGGTGGACGGGGTGTAATCAGCACTCAGAGCATCTCAGGTAGATGAAGATGACCCGCGACCTTCAGCTACCTGACACGTTAAAGCATGCACACATCATTTCCTGGCTTCATTATTACTTCATAGCTCACTAATGACCAAGATGAGCACATATGCTGTTACAGAATGAGTATTTCTGCACATGTAGACACACCAGTCTTTATGCATCAGCTGGGGAAGTTTCATGGTGATGTTAGTTGATGGATTTTCACCACTAACATGTGTTTTGCAATAAAAATGTCTGTAATTTACAACCATAACGTTAGAGGCCACAAATCTCCACTTCAGCACCGCTGACACCCACCAAACTTTTCACTTTTATTCCGGGCTCGAGGGAATCATAAATCACACAGATCTGCGGAGCGTTTCACTCCTGAAACACGGGAAAATTGCCCGACGTCTTCTTGAGAACATTTTCTGATTTATTAAATAATAAAAAGGATCAGCGTGTAAAATGTTTGACGGAAACGTGTCACCATAACCGAAACTAATTTTTCCCACGTGGGGAGGTGAACGATAAGGTCCACGTGATTTCCTCCTGTCGGCATTCTGGAGGTTTAAACGTTTGTTCCTACATCGCTCCGAGCCTGACTCAGACAGACGCATGGAGGAAATGGACTTCATGGATTTCATGAAATGATCAAAATACCCAGAAGCCCCTCTGTAAAAACCTTTGACTCCAAATCAAAAGGAATTTCGAACCCGGCTTTATCCATCGTTCAGATTTCTGAGCTGGAAAAGTTCAACGTGTCACATAAATGGACACGTTGTGTTCTGGAGGTTTGGACTGAGAGGTTTGCTCATCTATCATTCATCTAGCACCGCCTGATTTATTGACTGATTTTATTCCTAAAATACTGAAAAAATGATATGAATCCAAACAATTCCAGTGGGAAAGATTATTCCCACGTGAAGACAGTCACCAGTATTCCCGGGACTGGACGTCCCAGCAAATGTACCCCAAACCCAGGAGCGTGCACAAGCCTCGGTCAGCGTGGCAGAGGTTAAAGTTCACGGCAGGGCGATTAGAACAGGTTCTGCTGTGACAGCGTTTGCGAGTAGAATCAACAGTTTCACGCCGCTCGCCAACATTCTGCTTTAGTATTTGCTCGATCTTCCCGGGCATCCGCAGCCCACGGCCCTGCCCACCATCCGCCAGCATCGAGCCACACATGAAACAGTCTGAAATGTAGTGCAGCACCATCAGCTTTGTATCTAGCGACCTGTCAGAGTCGATATAAGAACCCATCTGCTGCTGCCTCCTCCGCACTGAACACACAGGAGATGGTTAGCTTTACACATGTACCGTCGTCAGCTGACAAACAGAGGTCAGGCTGTTAACCCGCCTGTGTTTACGTGCTCCACATGCATG